GAGACAAAGAAGGACATTATATAATGATTAAAGGATCAATTGAACATGAAGATATAACCATAATAAATATTTATGGACCCAAAGAAAGAGCCCCCCAAAATACATAAATCAGACTTTAAAAGAGTTGAAAAGCCAAATACATGACTCCACAGTCATAGTGGAAGACTTTAATAGGAGGTTCTCAGCAAAGTGACCCCAGGTCCAAAGGACACACTCTGCTCTCAGCTCTTCTTTCTTGGTACGGAGTTTCCTCTCTCCATTCTCACTTCTCTCTCTTTTTATCTCTAATAAGGTAAAAGGTAATGCAGACCATACCCAGGGAAACTCCTCTTACATCATATCAGGCTGTAACCTGAATAAGGGTGCTGGATCCCTTCCTAATTCTCTTTCATTGGATCAGGGCTATGACTGAGTAAAGGTGTTGCATCACACCCTAACCTTCTTATAACTGATTGAATTATCATATCAGATCACATCATGGAGGATGATCACATCATTACATAACTGCAACTACTGAGAATCATGGCCTAGCCAAGTTGACATATATTTTTGAGCATCATAATTCAATCTATTACTAGTGGGATACATCAAGCACCCAACAGCTTTATTTATGTATTAAATAATTTATTTATTCACTTATTTTTCTTCCCTTATTCAGTTCTTCACATTAATTTAGAATCTTCATGGGAGGGAAGAAATGTAAACAGCCCATCTGTTTGACAGAATGAAAGCTCATGTCTGAATAACTCCCACTAGGAAACTCAAATCCTCAACAAGCATTGAAGGTACCCTCTTTGTATCATTTCATTCTTTCCACATCCTTAAAATCCATATGACACACACTACAAGGAGGTGTCACAGGACTTATAAAGCAGCAGGCTCATTCAGAAAATCTCTAGTTCTGCAGCACCAAGATTCTGGGTAGACAGCCACTTTTCTATGGTGTCCCTGGTTTCTTTGTTCCATATTATTTTCTGTGCTGGGCTCATTATGTTTATGAGTCATGTTATCATTTCCTTTGTTGCTGTTGTTT